AAGCTTCCCAAGCCCACTAGTGACCCACTAATGGCCCAATTTGCTAAACTGGGCCGAATCCTTTTAATGGGCCTTACCCTAAGCCCAATTATATCCTTGGCCCATAAAGTCCGACCTCTGATGGCCCACTATGGCCTAAAGGCCCAAAGTCCAAATCACAGGCCCAAACCGAGGCCCAATAACGCAAAGCCCAAACTGACAGAGTACGCGGGGCGTACTCCTATGTACGCTAAGCGTACTGGCTGGTGGCTTGTACGCCGTGCGTACCTTCTTGTACGCCCAACGTGCAGCCCTGTTAAGCCACTTTTCCATTAAGTGCTTAATACTACAATCCAGAAGCTACAAACACAGATCCTGGTCCTTTTCCACGTCCTAATCCATAAACTCACTGACTTGGTGACTTTACTTGGCCCAAACAAGCTCAAACTCCAAAAACGATGCATTACTTCCATGAAAATGGTCCTATCTCTTGCATGGCTCCATTAAGACCATCAAGGTATCAACTTTCTGTTTTAGGGAGTCATTTAGCACTAAGGGTGGCAACCCTTAGCCTGGAAATCGGATTTAAGCTATAAAGCTTCCACCTTTGGACCAAAAACTACTCCATAACTAAACCACACTAGATCTAAGCACCCTTAAGTAAAGTTGTGAACTTTATACCTCCAAAGAGTTCCAAAAGATGATGCTATCTCAGATCTATCAGCTCCAGCTTCCAAGGTTCATCCTTGCCAATCTTCTTCTTTTCCTCTTCCAAGCTTACACCACCAAAATGAGCTTCTTGAAGTCAAAATCACCCAAGGATGAAGAGATGATGCGTTCTAGGGTTTCTCTGGGGTTGGGGGACAGATAAGGAGGCTAGGGTTTGAGCCATTATGTTCCTTATATAGTGGCATGCCCTAAAATTAGGGTTTAGTGACTCTGAGCGTACGCTGGGCGTACGTCCCCAACACCCGCGATCATTTTCCCTTTATACGTTGGGCGTACCCACGCACCTCCTACTTTGCATGCATGGCCCTTTTGCCAACTTTTCCATTAAGGGACCATTAATGTCAATAACTTCAAAGTGCTATAACTCCTTCATTCTAAGTCTGTTTCCGACGAACTTTATATCCACGAAAAGGTGGCGAGAAGCCCTATGATTCTAGCAACACACCCCGGCCCGAAACCTTTTCGAATGAAACTCAAAGCCCATAAAAGACCGAAACGCCCCTAACCTTGGCCTCTGAAATCCCTAAATAAACGTTTTTAGAACAGGGCGTTACACGCCATTAGGAACAAATTTTGCAAACTATTTCTATACCAAGGTCAAAATGTAAAATACCTTGAATCGGGTGTTACATGGATACCACGTCACCAAAAGGTGACTCGTGGAATCAATTTTCGGTCACTTTTTATGAAATATTCGATTTTAACCTTAGTTAAAAAGTTTTTAGGTGTAAGGAAATATGAGGACTAACAAAATTACTTTGACTTTCTAGTTCCTTAATTACTATGAAATTGTTACTAAAAGATGTAAATATGATGTCAAATCTTTCATTTTGCAATTAACCAAGTAGGTCCGAATATATTTAGACTCGATAATAATAAAGAAGAATCTCTAAATTATCAAAAATTATAATTAAATTAAGAAAGTTCATATACGATAATAAGGAAGAATAAAAAAACTTACCATACAAGGTCCTCTTCAACCATGTCCTTATCTTTCTTCCTATCATATTTAATGCATCGACTTTCCTATCCGTCTAATGATAAACATGTAATCAAATGAGTAGACAAAGCAAAAAAATGCATATATCAATCTCAAAAACTACTTTAGTTACATGAAATGTAGATCGCGACATGGGATTGTAAAACGAAAATGAAGAATTCCAGTCTATAAACAAGTCGAAAATATACAATTTCATATGAAACTTAGTTGTGATAATTCACATAATCATACTCTATCTTTATCTACTATCTTGTAGGTATTTAACATAATACCATTCATATCTAATCATACATTCATACTCTATCTTTATATAATATATTATGGGTATTTAACATAATACTATTGCATTTAAACATGCATATATAATCATTTACAAGATTATAGTACATATAATCATAATCTAGTGAGAGAGTTATAACTCAACTTTTTAGTTTGTGAAAATTAACTACCCTTGGCTTCAAATCTTCAATTAATACTCTTGATCCATCTTCATTGCCCAAGGCCTATTCATACAACATGTCAAGCTCCTTAGAACTTCTCTTAGCCTATTAAGTGCTTAACTACTCTCTATATCAAAATGATGACTTAATTGATCATAATTTTAACATCTCATTTTATATCTCACAATCTATTTTACCCCATGAATTAAGCACCCCATACTACCTAATTCATTACACTCTAAACTTGATTGCATCAATTCATCCCTCTCATTATTTAGGCTTTGAAACCCTAACTATCCATATATGGATTTCATCATGGAAATCACATACAAAGCTTGTTCAAAGCTTCTAAACACTTTCAATAACATATTAATTGAGTTATCGGCTTCTTAACTCAAGTAATCTAACCGATCTAGCAATTTCACCATTGATGCTCAAAGCTCCAGGGAGAAATCATTACCTTTAGAGGGAAAGGATGTCAATCCTTTCAATCCTCCATCTCTAGCTCGTCTTGACAATTTCTTGGGCTCAAAATCTCCTTCCATCAGTTCTCCATCAAATTTGAGAGGATAATGCTCAAGAATGAACCCTTAACAAATTTAAATATGTCTATTGATTGAGAAACTATGTCGTGGAAACATTTCTACCGCATTGTAGTGCACCTAGTTAGGTTGTGGTCTCCCTCTAACCAAGTCACGGTTTTTCTTTGGAGTTGTATAACATTTTTTGGTCTCATGTCGGTTCTCATTATTAGAGAATAATCAGATTCTCAGAAGGGACTCAACAGGTGGAGCTAAGGCAGACAAAGAGGCTACTTTGACTGCCTCTATTCAGGGTTTTGTTCCTACAGACGACGCTTTCTCATTTGAGATGGTCATTAGAGTTTGCTGGAGGCTATACCATTACTTGTGTGATGAATTATTTAGATGTTGGAACTTTGATTTCTTAAGGCACGAGGACCAAATGGAATAATCATGTTTCAATCTTGAATATTTTGTTTTAGTAGATTACCTTAAATCGAATTCCTACACGGGTTAATATTGAGGAGAAAGGTATTGATATAGATTTCACGTTTTGCCCTACTTATCTTTTTACCACTACTAGAAAATAGGCCTTTAATGGCACAAATTGCATATCATTAAAGGGTACAGATGACATGCAAATGCATGTCATTAAAGTTCTAATCATAAATGAAGATGAAAGGCATTTGTGTGTAATATATGTACGACACATATTGTGTGTCGTAAATTTTTGACTTTTTTTATAAGTTCTTGCCATACATTTTGTTTGTCATGATTTTTGATAGATGTTAAAAAACATATATTATTTCTAAATTTACTAATATTCGAATTAAATCACACATTTGATGTCTCATAATATAAAATAACGTATCATACAAAAAATACAATTCATTTTACAATATATAGTACGTCAAATAAAAATAATCATTTGAATATTAAATAAATGCAATACATTAACGTTTTCATAATATCATATCAATTCTCCTAAAAAACACCATTTCCAATTAAGACATATGTTTAGACTCATTTACCTAACTCAAGATGCAACAGTTGCAACATGAGGCCCAACCGATCCATTAAACATAAAACTTGGATATGAACGAATATAGTCCAAGTACCAAAACAAACCATTTCCTTCTTCCACTTCCCTAAACTCTCTTTTATTATAATTATCCACAACTTGCATCAATTCCTCTCTAGTATTATTTCATGATGTAATCACTTAAACAAATTTATATCCATCATAATCATAAATATAAAATTTGAGTAAAAGAACATGGTAACTTACTAGTAGTCCACCAGGAGCTACTTGTATTGACATAGATTCCTAAAACATAATCCTGTAATTCAAACAAAATTAACCTCTAACTCCCAAGATTCGATAAAATTTATGATTAGATTATGGGCATCCTTGTTGACCAAGTCAATATGAAACAAATGTTTTCATTTTAAAATTATTGCATATGTTTAAGCCAATATGAATATGGAATAGAGCTTCATTCACTACCCTGCAAGGACAATATCCTAAAAGGAAATGAACAAGTTTAAGAAATCAGAAGAATCTGGATTTTACACGGGCTAGTATGTATTTATGGATATGTCCAGAAGGAAATGTAGCTAAGCTTTGGTAAACAAAAAAAATCACATTTAGTAGAGTTATTTTTTGGTACAAGTTTGCTCTTGTTGGTATAAAACACATTTGTTAAGTAATATTTTGATTTGTTTGAACCTAAACAAATGATTGTTTGGTTTGGTTTTTTGTTTTAGTTTTAGGCTAAAACTTAACCACTTATCTAAGGGGATGTTTGATTTCACATACTTCGGTTTATATCATTTTATTTTATTTAATTTTTATTACATAATTGCACTTTTGTAACAAAAGTGTAATATAGTTATTTTTATCATTCAGCATAGTTAGTTAGATACAAAATCAAACAGTCAAGTTTCATTCAGAAGCAGACTTAGAACTTCTGACTCAGTCAGCTTCGTCTGAAGCTAACTCATTCTGTCAGATCCGACTCGGTAAGCAACTATCAAACAGCCCCAAAGTAACATTTCTTTGTTTTATGCTTCCTTGTAATTTGTCAAATGTTGGTGCTAGTTTTCTCTTGTTAATATTAATCATGGCGTTCCAAAAAATAAATATAGGAATATTTATTGCATAGTTAACGACAACTTAATTAGTTTTAACAACATATATGTTAATATTTTAACTACAAAATTTTATTACGTACAACTTGTAGACATTCACACAGATACACACACAAACACACACACATATATATATATATATATATATATATATCCATCCCCAATAACTAAAAAAAAAGTTCAAACTATTTTCCACAAGGCCAACCATACCCACCACTTCTCCCACCATCTCGCTACCAACAAATATCCACCATCTTCCCCACCACCACCATCCCTTTCAGGTTCCCATCTTTGGACCACCGATCCACCACTATCACTATCATCATTTGCAATAATCCCATCATAAACGTGTCGAGTCATGTCGCCAAGGGTACCATCTCTTTCCTGCCCTAGGTTTGGCCTTACCACCATACCATATTCCCTTCTACCATCACCATAGTCATAACTACCATTTCCATTGACATGATTGTCTTCATGGACATCAAATGGAACGAATCTAAAGTAATCCAATCTATTTGTGTCCCGCCCAAACTCTTGCCTTCAAAATAGTCACCAACATAATCACTTAGTCTTCATGATAAAATATAGGGAGACTTGAACGTACTAATGCCTCCTACCGAATGAATGTTTGTATGAAAAGGACAACATATGAACATTTTTGTATACTTGGATACCATGTCATCAAAAGTGACTCGCGAAATAAATTACGTCTAGGTTAGCTACTTTGCCTTTTAAAAAAATCTATCTTTTCCGTGATATTCAATTTAAACCTTAGTTAAAAAGTCCTTAGGTGTAAGAGGGTGTTTGGCAAAACTTATTTAAAAAAAACCTATGACTTTTTGACTTATAACTTATTTGGTGAAATAAAGAGTTTTTAATAAGTAAAGGGTAGGTTACTTATCATTTTGACTTATTAGAGGTTACCAACCGCTATAAATTGTTTTTTTATCCAAACATTTTTTGACTTATACCGATATCAAACCGGTAATAAGTCAAAAAGCTCATTTTTTAAGCTTTGCCAAATAATTCAGACAAAATTACCATGACACGCCAATGCCTTACTTTCCATGAAATTGTTACTAAAAGATGTAAAAATGGTATTAAATCTTTCATTTTGCAAATTAGCCATGTAGATCCACTTATACGGTTATACCTTAGACTCGGTAAATAAAAAATATAAAAGTAAAAAAAAACCTCTAAATTACCAAAAATTATCATTAAATTAAAAAAGTTCATATCAAATAATAATAAAGATCATAAAAAACTTACCATACAAGGTCCTCTTCAACCATGTCCTCATCTTGCTTCCTTTCATATTTCAACCTTTGACTTTCCCATCCATCTAATGACAAACATAAAATCAAATGTGTAGACTAAAGCCACAAAAAACATATATCAATATCAAAAACTTCTTTAGTTACATGATATGTCGAACGCATTTTAAAAGCTCATATCATCAACAAAACTCCTACTAACGCAGATGAAAGAAAAAACAAGCAATAAATAACAACGGTACCCATGATGATAATCACAGCAAAAATCGATGTATCGATGACGATCGTCAGAAAATCAGCACTGATAACAAAGTCATATGAAAGTCGACTATAATATCAACGAATAACCCCACAAATTTGCATTACAATAAACCCACTAATCAAATTTGAATTAAGCGCAATATAGCCAAATCGGATTAATATCAGGTGAAAATAATAGTAACAGAATTTTCAAAATCCCACTAAAATCTAAATAAATTATTGAAAAATGCAATATAAATAAGTAACAATTTACCATCACAATAACAATTATCTGATGACACTTTAGGAGAAGCGATCGAGAAAAATAGCAGCAGGGAGAGAAAGACAAGGGAGTTAGCCTTTAAACTCTGTTTCTGCACAATCAAGTTAGGACCAACGGGGTCGACTCTAGGCCTGCCATTGTTTGCCTCTTCAACCTCCTCGCCGGCGTTAATTGGTTCACCACCACCACAAACCTTAAGGGTTTTCTCACCTCTGGATTCTCCGTCTTTTTGCTCAGCCATGATGGGTTGGAAGATATCACCGATTTAGTTTATTACTTTCAGCTCTTCGTCTCTGCTATTTATTACTGCGGAAGAGCTGGGTGTTGTTATTGGCACTGTGAAAAGGGAGATTCATTTTATATTATTTGAAAACCACTATTGGTTAAGTCAAATAGAAAAACTATGTGTTGAACACCAAAACCATCAAATATTGTAAAAACCACTATTTTAACTAATGGTAGGGTTCAATATGATGCCAGCGTCAAACTTAATTAAAACATTGGATTCTAATCGCACACCAACAAACATACCTAAGGTCCTTTTTTACTTGCATTCTATTTTGACAATATGTCTTTCATGTCTCATCATTTCTTTGTATTTAGTTTTAATCTTTCTGTTGCTTTCTGTAACCGGAGATTATTGGTGATTGCTTACTATTTTTATCGATTCATCAGCTTTAACACACATCGGATGACAATGCCGTACACACAAATGGTCATGAAAACATTGTAAATGTGGATGCTCAAAATCAGGAGAATGTTAAAGACAAAGATGAGAGTTCTGATAAGAAAAGAAAATCGACATGTAATGTATGGTTAGAGTTTGAAAGAATAAAAAATAAAAATCGGAGTCACAGGGCCAAATGTAACCACTGTGCTTACTTTTTCTTTTCCAAGTAATCAGTGAGTGAATGGATCCGTTGGACTATGATTTTTTTGAAAGATGCATTTTGATGTTTACATTTTCTCATGCATGTTCGTAATAGTAGACATTTATTTTGTTTTGGAAATGTTATTTATTAAGCTACAATTGAAGTTTTTCGTGGAATAAATGTTGTCTGGTTTTAGCGATTCATGTTATATGTATTGTAATGCATAATTATAGTCTAATCTTAACATTGTAAATGGCGCGAGTAAAAGGGTTGAAAATCCGTTGATCCGATGGATAATGATATGAGTTTAATTATTTAAAACACTATGGTTGGCGGGTCAGGTTTGAATCAACATTTGAAAATTTCTTAATGGGTTTGGATGAAGGTAGATCCGCTCCAACCCCGCTCCATTGTCAGGTCTAGTTGTATCCATTATGTGTATCCTTATATTTGACTTTTTATGTGAGTTAAGATATATACTAGTAACCCTATTTTTATATATTAAATATTAATTTCATATAGAATTGTCATTTATAATTTATATTTATAACAATAGTAGTCCTTCAAAAAAAAATTATGGGAAACGACCTAAAAGGTAATATAGTTCTCTATTTGTACATGTTTAGTTTTGATTGTTTTTTTTTTTTTTGTGTAATATAAGTCCTTGAACTTATTGTTTTTATACACATTGAATCATCATAACAGACTACTCCATATTAAATTTTTAGTTTGTATACATTTAATCTTTAATATTTTTTTTTTGCAAATAAGTCATTGTTGTTTTTGTACATATTCAATCATTATAAAAAAATTTGTGTACTTTAATAGTTACTAATATGGCTAATGTATTTTCTCCATCTTATGTAATGTAGTTGGTATTGCTATCGAATGAATTTTTTATTGGTATTAAATCTAATAGATATTGTACTATAATAGTTATTAATATCAAAAGTACAATGCTACTACCAAGACAAAGAAAAAGCAATGCATAATTCCACTGCCCAGATGAGTCACGTATGAAAACACATCGTTAATGATTGTTCCACGTAAGATGTTATATGAGCAAAAACCTGAAAAACTCATTATAAGTACTGAATGTGCACAAAACAACGAAAAAATATTTACAAAAAAAAATAATAATAAAGATTAAATGTGTACAATTTGAGAACATAACATGGAGTAATCGGTCATGTACGAAAACAATAAGTTCAAAGATTTATTTTACACACACAAAAAAAAACATTACTAAACGTATACAAAAAGAGAACCATATTATCATATAGGTCATTTTTCGTTAAAAAAATAATTAAAAAAAAATCAATAGACTGCAATTGTTTTAAATATAAACTAGAAAAGATTCTCCGCGTTGCGGGGTTAAAGTTTCTAAGGATATTTCCAATGATGAGGATTAGAAGGGTATTCACGTCTTTTTTGTATGTTGCATCATTTTGTTTAGTCACATATAAATCATCAAAATTAGTAGAAATAGCAATCTACATTATCTTTAACCACCAATAGCATTCTATTACATTTGTTTAGACATAGACGGAACATCCTTACAAATTATTAACTATAAACTACACTACACTATAGGTAAAAACTTATAAGCAAGCTGGTATGAGTAAAATGTAAGTATGTTACCATATTGCTAAAAAAAGAGTATTCTGATCTATTCTTAATTTTTTCAGAATGAATGGATTTCCATATTTTCCATACAATGATGCAACATTCTTCTTGATATCATCTTTGATGTGCACCCATGGCTCAAGTTGTATAACCTAAGGAAAATAAAATTTGATTGTAAAATATAGGACAAACATCCCTGCAAACTTTGGTTGGATTGCCCGTAAAAAAGAACACATTTTATAATGGACATTTCAGTTGTCACAATGTCTAATTTGTCCATGTTAAGTAAAAAATGATAAATTACCACCTAACCCATTAAGGTCACTAAGTGAAAAAAGAAAGAGCCTATGAATAAGAGACTAAAACTTTCAATCTTAACAACTAAACATACCGGTGAATCGACATCAATTGTTAAGGTAGCTTCCCTAATAAAATAACTCCAGTATATCCATTAACCATAACCTGAAATCTGCATTAAACTCCAAAAGTTAGTGGAAACTTTGATTTTCTAATAAATTCAATAAGTAATAATTTAAACACAAATTGAAATACCCTTTAAACTAATAAGAACAATAAAACTATCACCTATTTGTTGCTTTAGCAATACATAAAATAAGGAAACTGGTAGTCATTCGATCCGGTGCCCCGATATGCGTAACATGTAGTGGTAAAAAGTTGGTTTGGAAATGACCATTGGATCAGGTGTCCCCACATACAGAATGTAACATACCATGTCTCCATCTACAACCAATGTCCACATCAAAATCGACACGTAAGTACAATGAGGAAAACTCACCTCAAGTGATGTCAACTGATACAACACTCGATCCACGGCGAACACTACTCCTCACGCTAAACCAAAACCTGAAACAAACATAATCAATAATTAGGGTTTAACCCAAACCCATGGTCTAGTCCATTCCTCATCATGATGAGAGCAAAAGACCATTTTTCTCTTTATATACAAGCCCAACTAAACTAAGCCCAAAACCCTAATGGCCCAAGGCCCAAAATCGATCCATTGGGCTTCTGCTCAGAACGCCTAGCATTCCACCCTATGACGCATGGCGTCCGAGGGCGTTCGCATGCAAATACTTGGCGTTTGCTCGATGATTACCAATTTCCATACCAATGTCTTAATTTCTTAAGATCTCATGTCCAAACTTTAGATCCAATCATAATGGAACGTCTAAAGCCATAAAGTTGCAAACCTTATGGTCATGCATGGCTACAATGAGCCCAACACCAAGATCCTAACTTAAAATCAACTATAAGGCTCCAAAAATTTTGCATGGAAGACTATGAAGACCCAAGATTGCATTTTTATGATTCTAGACTCACTATTATGCTTGAAAGGACAGCCGAACCTCTGGAGCATTACAAACTCACAAAGATCAAGTCTTTGGGACCAAAAAGAACATAAACTAGCCCTAAATCAAGATCTAACAAATTAGACATCAAGATCTGAACTTTATACCTCAAATGATGTTCCAAGATGTCAAGAGTCCATATCCACAAGCTAGAGAGCAACTACAATACTCCAAAGATCTTCTTTCTCTTATCAAGAACACTAAATGATACCAAAAAAATGAGGCAAGGCTTCAAACTCTCATACACACTTAGGGTTTTTGAAATCAGGATGGAGGCTGGAGTGGTGAAGGGTTTTGAGGCCATAATGTTCTTTAAATAGGGTGTAAACCCTAAAAATTAGGGTGTGGTCTCTGCATGCAAACACCTGGCGTCCACCATAGAACGCCTGGCGTTTGAACGCCTAGCGTGCTATGCCAAATGCCTGGCATTTGGATCAAAGACCTCATCGTCGGGATGTTACAAAATAATATGTAATTATTTATAATCAAAGAGTGTGAAGCCATAGAACAATTGGTTTATTGTTTTGCTTCATTTGCATGTTACTTCCAAAATATTTATTTATTCGAAATACCACAATCATTCATACTTTTGGGAGTAGGAATTGATTTAAGACTGTCATGAATGGATTGTAGATTGTCCTTAGGGATTGGACATTGTATAGAGATTTTTTCAATATTCATGAGTACTTTAAAAATAGGGATTTAAGTATTGGTTAAACTCGCGCTTAGTGATTACTTCACGGATTCAATCACGCGTAATTCTAAGATGATAATATCTTATATTCTTTAAATAGAGATATATAAGTCATATTTTTCAAATCAGTTGTGCATTGGTTTACTCCAACGCATCTCATAACCGGGTGGTATAATTCAATGCTTGAATTGGTGAGTAAAATATATGATTATATAGTCAAAGTTTATTCGTTCATTTTGCCTTAACAGGAAAAGTGATATCTTTGGGCCCTTCGATGATTTGTTGCGGACATCTGAAGTGCTTGGTCGACCCTAGACTAAATTAATGTTTCCAATTAGTAGTCTGAATGCAGTCGTCGTAAATTGGGAAATCAAGAAATAGAATCTTGGACAGTGAGATTGATTCTAATCCATGTCTTATATCCATACAATATCTTTTAGAATGAAGGGATAATTGATCACTTATCTTAGGACCAACATCTAATCAGATTTTGGTAGTGTCTTTGGAAAACGCTCTTTAGTGGTTATTCGGAGTTGTACTTGCAATTACAGTTAACTACTTATCCAAGTGGGAGACTGTTGGATTTAAGTGTCTAAGGTCCTAACTAAATTGGTAAAATGTTGATGAATAAAAGTAAAGTCCTTTTTGGGTTGCCCTCATAACCAGGAAATGCCTTGGA